ATTCAAATTACCAATCTATGTTCTTGTTTCATTCACTGAATTTATAGTTTAATTTGTTTGTTATTCTTAATGTTTGATCACCATTAGGGCTGTTTATGAATTATTTGATCAAGGTTATAGTACACATCATGCTTAATCTTGGTTGACATGTGAATGATTGAAGAAAATGTTATGCAAACATCCTGCCTCGTGATTTCTTTGGTTCTTTGAAGTTTTATTGTTCTTAATGGAGTACTTGATCACAACCACACATCAAATGGATGATCATAAATAAGTAAAACGAATCCTAGTTGCAGATTGGAGAGTTGAATATGTTTTGTCTTAATTTTCATGGAATTGGCTTGTAATGGTGAAATCGATATTCCTAGTTTGATCCATTCCCATTGTTTCTGAATCAATCTATCATTCATCTTTGTCTTTGCTTGCAGTTTTAATTTAATTTAGCTTTCAAAACAAAAATTTTAATTCAGTTTGCATTTTCTTTGTTTAGTTAGGGTTCACATAAAACTAATAATTGTAGAGGTCTAATCTATCTCTGTAGTTCAATACTCTTACATGTGTGTCATTAAACTATCCTTATATTTGCACTTCAAAAGAATACAACACTAGGCAAAGATTTTTAAAACAGTGGTTAAAATAATTCAAAGGATTTGAATAAAAATTTTAAAAGACACAAAGTTTCAATCAATGAAATATCATAACCAAGAATTAAAACCTAATTTTTCCTTTGGATATTGTAGTGAGAAGGATCTTACATGTTGAGATAACATAAAGAATTATCAATAAAGTAATGAAAAGTTAGACAAAATGAATGTAATACACTTTTTTTATAGAAGAAGACAATACTAGTTTAGTTGATTGTTTTGGTAATATTCAGACAGACAAGGGACACAAAGACAAAACCCCCTTCGACGCAGCCTTCAACGGACGTAAACGCACAACCTACATGCACATAAATAGTCGATTGTCTAGACCTAAATGAATAACATACTATGTTTCAGTTTGTGTTTCAAACGTAGAAAATCATAGCCAACCAATTCATGACGGGTGTATTTTGGAGCTGTGCACACAGTGCTTGTCATGTTCATGCACAGTTACAGTGACGGGGCCATAATTTAATTATGAGGCGGCAGAAAAATTTGGCTATAAGTGTAATTAACCATATTATAGGAAGACTGTTAGATATTTATCGATTAAACATTTATTACTTTCCAACTTTTGATTAAAGTGCTCTCATCTTTTGATCAAAACCCAATATTCCAAGTTTATTCTTAACTTTTATTTTTTTGTCAAAGTAATAGATTTTGTTAGATTAGTATATTCTTAACTTTATTTTATTTTTATTTTATTTTTCAAACGATAGATTTTGTTAGATTAATTGTTAGATTAGTCATCGACAGGGTTTGAACCCACACCGTCATACAAAGACTCAACACCTTTCCACTACTGTGGTAAATGGCCACTTGTAGGTATTAATTAATTTATTGCTATTTTTATGGAATCTTATCCCTTTCTCAATTTAAGGCTTCAATTATATGTGCCACTACTATGGTCTAGTGATATTTCTCTTCACTTCTAAGTGAGATATCTTAGGTTTGATTCTCGTGAAGTGTGAGTTTGAACCACATTATTGCTAGCTCATTGTGAGGCTAAGCTCACCCCCTCCTTTTAGTGTAGATAATATCGTTTGTTAAAAAAAAAAAAAAAATTAAAAACAAATATTGCTAGTGGGATGAAGATTAATTGGATGGAATAAAATTGTTTTAAGGGTCTTTATCACAAATAGACCCTGAAATTGACCTTCACCATCAAGACAGTCCCTGAAATTGAAAATCGATCAAAGTAGTTCTTGAAAATAGGTGTCAAAAATCAATATGGTCATTTCATCACAATTATGTTAAAAATTCAGTTAAGTGCTAATGTGGCATATAAATGGGCCCAATAAGTCTTTTTTTTTTTCTTTTTTTTTTTTTTATTTTTTTTTATCACAAATGGTCCTTAAAATTGACTTGCAACATCAAAATGGTCCTTGAAATTGACTCGCGACACCAAAATGGTTCCTGAAATTAAAAATGATCAATGTAGTCCCACATAAAATTGAAAATCGATGAACGTAGTCCTGCAAGTAAATGTCTCAAATCAATGTAGTCCTTCTGTCAAAAATTTTGTTATGTGCTGGAGTGACACATAAATAGGTCACACAAGTCTAATTAAATTTAAAAAAATTCAAATAGGTTTAATAATTTAATAATTAATAAAAAAAAGTTGTCAACTCCAAAATCCAGTCCCATAATCACCTATGATCCCAGCCCACAATCCTCTACCTCCATTTATGATAGCCTTCACTGTCTCTTCTCTAGAAATCAATACACCCATCTTTACATACTTCGACACCCTTCACTAAATTGGACTTGAATCAAGATCACCTTTGGCGATAGCTTGGATTGGTGACAACGTATCTGACATCACCGTTAACATTTAGACGATCAACATCCTCACAACCATAATCTCGGAGAGCTTGTTGGGCGCTCCCTTGGTGGTATGTTGACCCAGAGAATGGCGAGGTCTACCTTGAAATAATGAGGTTCTAATCGAAGCGCATCTATTGTTGGTTGAAAACTATTTCCAAACCCCTCTTAGGCCTTGGTTGAGACCTGTGCCTTTGAGAATTTCTGAAAGGGCTCTCTCTTCAGAGTAGGCACTATTATTAGGAAAAAAAAAAAATTCCATTGTACAAAAGGGTATTTAGACAACTTTTTTTTAAATTAATTATTAAATTATTAAACTCACATTAGATAATAACTTTTTTTACATAATTGTGGCGAAATGACCATATTAATTGCGACACCTATGTTCGGGGACTACATTGGTCGATTTTCAATTTCAGGAACCATTTTGATGGTGTGGGTGAATTTCAGGGACCACTCGTGATAAAACCCATAAATTTTGTGGAGCCCATTTATGTATCACATCAGCACTTAACATAATTTTTAACATAATTGTGACGAAATGACGATATTGATTTGCGAAGCCTATTTTCAGGGACTATATTGATTGGTTTTCAATTTCATGGACCATCTTGATGGTGAGAGTCAATTTCAGGTACCATTTGTGATAAAAACCCTTTTTTAATTTTCAACTCAACAGTTTATACATATTATAAAAAACTAAGAGTTCTTTTATAATTAAAATAAGGATAACACAATGTATAAATAACTTGGTACGTACCCAAATACATTTAGTACCTACCAAAATAACAATAACACAACGTACTAATAACTTAGTACATACCAAATTGCATAACGTACCAAAAGTAATATTTTATAACGTACCCAAGTACTAATATATACCCGAATTAAATAAAATAACGTACCAAAAGATTGCTATGTTATATTTAATATACATGCATGTTATATCTCATAATTGTATAGGAAATTTGATGTTTTTTTTAGAATTTAAAACAAAAGAAATAATACTTGAGTTAAAAAAATTTCTTTTCAAACGAATTGTGATAAGATAAGATAGGATGTTTGTTGTGGTTTTAAGAGATTTGTGATATTAATTTGTAAACTAATTCATAAAATGAATATTATACAATAATAATTTTTAAATTAAAAATTAGTAGAAAATTGTTTGATTAAAAGTTTAAAAGCTACACATGTTTGATTCAAAAAATTCAAAATTCAAATACCTATGTCAAAACGCCCCAAAATAAATCTAAATCGCTATTAAAATATATAATTATAAATCATAAATTTATATTCTACTTTCCTTAGCATTTTTTGAAATACATTCAAATTTACTTAAAAAAAATGATGTATAAGTAATTATGCATATCGCTAGTTTATTTTAAGTTACCACACTTGGTTAGTGATTTGTTTTTTTTCAAATAAAAAAAAAAAAGACTAAAAACACACACTATATATTAATATATTATTTTTATTATATGTTATGTCGTAACATTTTGGCAACATTTTTCTTCACCAATGACTTTTAGATATTTTTTTTCTAGCCTGTTGACTTGTTTATTTTGTATGAATAAATATGAAGTGATCAACTTGTAACAAGCCTTCTTACAACAACCCACTTTCCATATTCATAGGTATAATGTTCTGCAATTATTAACATTATTATATACATACAACACACTTACAAACCCTTATTTGTAAGGGAATTGTTATTGACATACCAAAATTCTAATTTTGTACTTCAAACTTTCTATATTTAGAAATAAACATACACTTGTAAGGAATGTCAAATGATATTTTTGAAGTGTTAATAACAGTTCTCATTTATTAAACATGATATAATACTAGATTACTATAATGAAAAACTGTAAGCGATAAATTATATGAATGTGTAGTACAACACACTACTATTGAAATATAATCATTGCTGTAAATTTATGACAGCTACAACTCCGATTTGAACCATTATTATAATGGTACAACATAGTGGATGACCAAAGAACTCAAGAGACTCCTTTTAATTGCTCGCCTCGAGCACCCAAAATTTAGGATAACCCAATTTTAGCAAAAGCTTCAACCCTTGTGTTAAGTTCGACTGCAAAACGAGTTATGTACTTTCTATATTCCGAAGTGTATTTTTCTTAAATTATTAACATATAAATGCAATGCACCTACTGTTTGACCTACTATAAAATATAATTTCTTACGTACGTCTCTCGTCACTTAAGCTAAACGCGAAAGCTTTTATATCAATATCGAAACTCAATAGAGCACCCCGAATTCAATAAATCCAGAACTTATTTCTTTGTCCATAAAATTTAGAACTTATTGTTTTCCCTAAATATCACAACTTATTTTTTTCCCCAAAAATTAGAACATCTCATAGAATGACAATTTAAGGGCCCTATAGCAAGTGGCAAATAAAAATAAGAAAAGAAAAGAAAAAAACCAATCAAAATAGAGCGGCATTGAAAAAGTAGGCTCGGGCAGGAGGAGGGACAGAAATAAATAGGGATTTATTAAACTCTGTTTCCCACTATATACACTTTGAGTTTGAGAGAGAACTGGGAGAGACAGAAGAAGAAAAGTCTAGAACTCGGAGAGAGAGAGAAAGAGAGAGATGGGGAGGACAAGATGCTTTCTCGACATTAGCATCGGAGGAGAGCTCGAAGGGAGAATAGTGGTCGAGCTTTTCGACGATGTGGTACCCAAAACCGCTGAGAATTTCAGAGCTCTCTGTACTGGTGAGAAGGGCATTGGCCCCAACACTGGTGTTCCGCTCCATTACAAGGTCCTCTCTTTTTGTTTGCTTTCTGTATTTGTGTTTTGCTATGTGTTTGTTTATCTGGGTTGTTTTTATTTATTGTTTTTGTGATGCAAGATACTTAGATGTTCTTGATTGATATGCAGAAGTTATTGGATTTTGAATTTTTTTTTATTGGGTTTTTTTTTAATAACCTGATTAATCTTTGTTTAAGCATATATATCATGCAAAGCTGCAATCTTTTTGCTTTTGTGATTGGGATTGTGTACAACCAGTTTCAGTATTCTGAAGTTCATTTACCATAGGTCTCATTTACTTTCTTGAAAAGTCTCATTTAGTTACTATTGTTTTGCAATTTTTGGACATTTTAACAAAGAATTGCAGGTGTTGATAAAAAAGGGTTAATTGTTTGCTACAATGATGAGTTTTTGCCCTTGTCAGACTGTCTAAACTAAGAGAAAGTTTGTTAAGAAGGCCGAACAATCGGGTTACAAATCAAGCTTGTTTATTTTTGGTACCCAATGTGCTTTTAAAGTTTGTATAGCATTTCTTAAAGCTGCCCTTGGGATAAGTGTATTGATTTTATAATCATATGCTGTTTCCGTGTCATGCCAGGGAGTTCGTTTTCATCGTGTCATTAAAGGGTTTATGATACAAGGGGGTGATATCTCCGCTGGAGATGGTACTGGTGGAGAATCTATCTACGGAATGAAATTCGAAGATGAAAATCTTGAATTGAAACATGAAAGGAAAGGCATGTTATCCATGGCTAATTCTGGTCCGAACACCAATGGGTCTCAGTTTTTCATCACGACAACTCGCACAGCTCATTTGGATGGGAAACACGTTGTATTTGGGAAGGTAATTAAAGGAATGGGAGTTGTCCGCTCAATTGAGCACATAACCACAGCTGATGGTGATTGCCCCAGTATGGATGTTATAGTTGCCGATTGTGGAGAAATCCCCGAGGGAGAAGATGATGGAATATCTAATCTTTTCAAGGATGGTGATGTTTATCCTGATTGGCCTGCTGACCTTGATGAGACTCCTGAAGATCTTTCTTGGTGGATGACTTCTGTAGATTCAATTAAGGGTTTCGGAAACGAATATTACAAGGTAATGAGGCATCGTGTTTGGTTACAGCCTTTCGTTGATCTTCTAATTTGGTATATTGAGTTATATATCAGGAAACTTATTTGTTAAGATATGTTTGTTAAGGAAACATTGTTCTAGAATGCTTTTGCCCAAGCCTCTAACAAAAACAGTAATATCTATACTGAAAAAGGTGTTATTTACTGTTCACAGAAACAAGACTATAAGACGGCTCTTAAAAAATATCGCAAGTCCTTACGCTATCTGGATATATGCTGGGAGAAAGATGGAATTGATGAAGGTGGTGAACTTGCTTTTCTCAAATTATGTTATGTATTTATTTCCTTAGTCGTATTGGAATACAAGTTTGCTACCTATTCCAAGGCCTCCAGTCCATCTCATGATTTACTTCGTTTCTCTGTGATTCTGCAGAGAAGAGTTCAAGTTTGAGAAAGACCAAGTCACAGATTTTCACAAACAGCTCTGTAAGTTATCTTTTTTTTTTTTTTTTTTTTTTTTTTTTGAGTGCAATGATACATCCCTAAGGGGAGTGGGGGAGTTTGGCTAAGCCATACAATGAGCAACCTAATTTGATATCAAATTCGCTTTCCACGAGATTCAAACCCAAGACCTCTCACTTACAAGTGAAGAGGAATACCACCAGGCCATAGTATTGAGTGGCAAGTTATCTTTTTGTGTTAGCTTTAAAGTATTGTATTTTGAGCTTATTAGTTAAAATTGCAAGGAGGTAGTAGTATGCTATCTTGATACTGGCAGAACAACAATATAATCTGAATTTGGATTGTCAAAAAAAGGGTCTCTTAAAGGTTTAAATATCAAAAAAGTGTTGGCTGGACTACAGTAATATGTAGTACTGTTCTTGTGATCAAAGCTCAACAAAGTTCCATTGCGTTCAAGTTATCATATTACTTAACTTTCCAATTTAGTCATTGAACTAATATTTTTTAATTAAAGTACTGCTGAAAGTCTTCCTAAATGAACTGTTGTCTTTTGTTTGGGGGGTGGGGTGCAGGGGTGATGTTCTCATGCTCTTTTTTTTCCTTCTAAAACCCTACCTAATACCTTTATTCTTGCCCGATTTCATTGTATTCCTAGTGCCTTTTTTTAACTAATAACCAAGCTTGGTATGTTGTTATAGGCTTGTAAGTTGAAGTTGGGGGATCTGAAAGGAGCACTGTTAGACACTGACTTTGCAATGCGGGATGGAGAAGATAATGTTAAAGCTTTGTTTCGACAAGGTCAGGTTAGTATCTTGAGTTTATGCATGTTTGCCAGTGTGGCCCTGATCGATTTAAGCTTCATGGCAGTGCATTAGTTCACTTCCTGGTGCATTTAAGTCTATACTTCCATTTTCTTATCTGTGTGGCCTGGCCTGTGTTGTCATTTACTAGTAAAATTTTAATTTTTTTTCCCTTTACTAGTGTGGTTGGTAGTTAACTATGAGATATCAATTCCAATGCTTTCTTGAATCCGAATGACTGTTCCTTGTGCATATCAGGCATACATGGCGCTTAACGATGTTGATGCTGCAGTTGAAAGCTTCAAAAAGGCATTGGATTTGGAGCCAAATGATGGTATGGACAGTCCTTTCTCATAAGCCTGATGATGTATCTTGATACCAGTTTTATTGGTTTGACTTTACGCAATAGGAAGAACCCTCACATCTACGATAAACTACTGGCTAAACAAAACTTGGGGTGAAGCCCGGAGCTTTAGCTCGATGGAGTTTCATGAGCCAAGCATTAGTAGATCAAACTACTTGATTTGAGGGAGCATAGCATTGTAGCTGTCATTCAAAAATGTTAAAAAAAAAAAAAAAAAAAGGTGTTTTCTTGGGGTGCTCTATAGATAATAACACAGTATACGATAAATGTTTGCTTTCTTTTTCTATAGAGCAATAAAATAAAAGTGATTGGTAATGGAATTGAACAATGTGGATCCAACCTTTTGTATACTTTCAATATGTAGCATTTAGCAGTATTAAATACAAGTAGCAAGAAGTTTCTTGAAAGGACAAAGTGAGAGAATGTTTTTTTATTAGGTTTACATTTTTGCTAACACTTGCTATGGTTTACTTTGATGTTCAGCTGGAATTAAAAAGGAGTATGCTGTTGCAAAGAAGAAGGTTTGTATATAAAACCAGACTTGAAAAATTCTGCGACAATAGATGTTACAGTCAACTTACAATCAACTACGTTTTAAACATTTCTTTTGCAGATTGCTGATAGACGTGATAAAGAGAAGAAGGCCTACAGCAAGATGTTCCAAAAGTAGCACTCTGGCTGTCAACTGGTACATCACTGTTTGATTTGAATTTTTCACCTTGTCTGCTGATGTTTAAAGCTCCTGCCTGATGTAGTTCCAAATACAGGCTGCTTATTCCTTGAACTTACAAATGCTTCATACCCGAATCATAGCCATTATCAAGGAATGCAGACTTTTATTGTCACAAGTGCTGTTTTTTCGGGAGGGAAAACCAGGTACTTTCATAATCTGCCCTATTTTTTTTTTCCTGAAACATTGTGTGACATTTTATGCTGGAATACGACATAAGCATAGCTAATATTTTTTTCGCCAGATATTGTGTTGTTTTACTATAAATTAAGACCATAATTCAAATTTGATTCGGGTTGACATTCTAGTAACCAGTCAGAACTATTTGACGAGAAAATGCTTTCGCTTATGTATATACTGGTATTTAAGTTTCATAAATATTTTGTGAGAATAGGTTAATTCTGTTATGATCATTTATGTTTTGTTGCTTCTATGTTCTGTTTGAATTACACATTTACTGACATAGGGTTTTCCTTTGGCGCAAACTCGTATGCCAAATTTATTATTTAATTTAGTAGCATGTTGCCCTTGCAAAAGGTCAAATGTTTAGTTTTGGTTAATACGAAAACTACTCTATTTCATTCTACTTCGGTTACAACTCTACTTCATACTTAGATTTGGGTCCGGTTAGCTTCTTGTACATACTTAAAAGAATGTAACTGTGACTGTAATTTAGGAGTTCACTCTGAAAGAACTCTTCGTCTGCTCTGATTTGGTTTGTTCATGGATTGTGAATCCGTGATTTACTTACGTTTTTCCAGTTTTGCAGGTTCCAAATCATCAAGAAAATGCAACTGTAAAGAAGATAAAGATCATCTAATTGAACTTCTTCCTTTTTTGTTTTTTGCTTTCCTCTTTTTGGTTCAAGGAAGGCAGCTGAAATTTGAAACTTGCAAAATCCAATGAGTTGTAATCTGATCAAACTTTAAACCAAACAATTTTGTCATGTTACATGCTTGAAGCATTTGTTGGTATGGGGGTGGAGATAAAGAACCTTTTACTTGGACTACGTATTTTGCTTGTTTATGTCATGTGCAAGACTGCAATAGGTATTGTTTTTCCTCATTCGTGTCGTATTGGCCGCATACTTATTTTTTAATGTGCCACCCGTTGCGAATGGCTAAGCTAATGTGCGAACTCAAGCTGAACTTGAACCTTGTTATCGGTTAGTTTGCTGTCCCGTTAACGAAGAACTTGATTTACAAGTACGCAAATTAATACTACTCGGTACACCAGACACTGCTCTACATCTTTAATCTGATCCAATGCAAGAAATAAATGAAAAATCTTTAGCATGCCTTGCAAGTTGCAAGAAAATTAAACATTGTTTCTCGAATTTATGTTTAATTGTGTGAGAGTAAAAATGAAGAGGGAGTTGGAATCATAAGCTAGGTTTAGCTTTATTGGTGCATGAAAATACTAACGTGATTATCAACTCCAAACATTAAGCTCCAATCCAAAACAATACTCCGTGTGATTTTATCTTCTTAACGATTCATGTACAATCTTGCTAGGTCAATATGCGATATTGGTTGTTAGCCTCAATTATTCCAACACTTGTCCTGTTTCCTCTTCTTCACGTGAATTTTGTCAAAAATATCAGAAGTAATTTTTACACGCCACATTGTTCTTTATTTTTTATTTTTAACAAACGATATTATCTACACTAACAAAGTGGAAAAGTGAGTTAAAACCTCACAACAGACTAACAATAATGCGGTTCAAATTTGTCTTTTTAGAAAATCGAACATAAAATCATTCACTTACAAATAAAAAGAAATATTATTAGACCGTATTACTAACTGTTTGCACGCCATTTTTTTTAACTATTAAGGCCGTCTCCAACCGAAGGAGGGCCAAATGGCTTGTTTTAGTCCTTTGACCCTTCAAAAAATAAATATTTGAATGAATAGTACATGACCATATTTCTTACCATCTCCAACCAAGGGTCAAAGGGTCATAGGGCTCGTTTTAGCCGTCACAAAAAATCGTCTTCAACCGAGGGTCAAAGGGCTATAGTATAGAATGTGAAGAATTGAAATAAAATGAGATAAAATAGTATGGAATGGTGAAAACTATGTGAGAAATGGTGTAAGAAAAAATTAGAAATAAATAAAAATAAAAAAATAATAAAAAAAATGAGCTGGGCAAATAGAAAAGAAAAAAAAAGAAAACAATTAAGTGGGCTAGCGGGCCAGCTAGCCAGCTGGCTGGCTGAAGATAATAAGCTGGTTGGCTTTTTGATCCTTTTTTTTCCCTTAGGGCCTACGATCTCTTTAACTTAACCCTCAGCTGGAGATGATTTTCAAATTATTTTTAACCGTCTGATCCTCTGAATCATTCGATTTGAGATGGTCTAAGAAGAGTTGTGCTAAAAATGAAAAAAAAAAGAGGTATTCATCAATTTCCCCCCTGAACTAATGACCATTGGCCAATTTTCCCCCTCAACTTTAATTTTGGCCAATTTCCCCCCTTAACTCTCATAATTAGTCAATTTCCCCCTTCAACTTTAATTTGGCCAATTTCCCTCTTCAACTCTCAAAATTAGTCAATTTGCACCCTACTGTTAATTTTTTTGTTTTTAATTTTCCATCTATTCTTTTCTTAATTTTCAATCTTTCTAATAACTTCCACCAAAGTACTAAAATTAACATAAACTCACATGCATAATATAGGGTAAAATGTACAAAAACATAATACAATTAGTATGTGATATGGGTTGATTATAAGAAAAAGTTATGAATCGGGTTTAAAGCATGTAGAAGAAGAAATAATAACAAAAAGAAATAACAATCCTAAACTCATGGATCATACCTATTTCAATAAAATGGGTTATTCTTAATAAGGAGTCAAAAATTATGAATAGACTAGCCATTTTTTCACTAAAGCTCGATTCTCTGCAATTTACTTGAACTTAGCTATCACTTTTATAAAGAAAATTGTATTCACATACAAAAATTTACACATCAATCATTTTCGTTATCAATGTTGTATAGTAAAAAATCAAATAAAATTACTTCATACTGATTTATCATGACTAATAATACTATCTATGATAAATTGTAAAATTCTAAATTTTAATCTATTTGTAATAGGATAAAGATATAGGAACATGATTAACATACATCTTATTTAGTTTCCTACACACACTTGTTTAATTATGATCAAATTAAAAATTAACAGTAGGGTGCAAATTGACTAATTATAAGAGTTGAGGGGGGAATTGGCTAAATTAAAGTTGAGGGGGGAAATTGACTAATTATGAGAGTTGAGAGGGGAAATTGGCCAAAATTAAAGTTGAGGGGGGAAATTGGCTAATGGTCACAAGTTCAGGGGGGAAATTGATGAATACCTCAAAAAAAAATTGTGGACTTTTGTCAAAAACATCAGGAGGAAAGCTGGCGCATTGATTTGTTATAAAGTTGCATCGTTCTGCGGGTGAAAAGTTGGATCTCCGTGGCTCCACAGCAGGGGCCGTTACCCCCCTCTATTATGTTAGACACGTGCACCTTACAGACAGACGTTGATCGGTTGATCATCTGTGGGGACGTCTTCTCGTGTTCTTTTGTATTAAGGTCGTCTTCTTGTGCTCTTGTATATCAGTTCAAAATGGGTGATTGTTCGAGTATTTTTATTGATTTTCTAAAGTTTATATTATATCTTTTATGTTTTAGGCCTTATTTGGCACAATGTATAAAGTATTGGACTTAATTAATAATACGGAATCAGTTGTTTGATATCCTTATTAGATTAATAATTACCGGCTAATTAACACACGCTAAAAATTCAGTACTAATTTGGAGTTTAGAAACACGCTCAGGCTCTTTCCTCTTCGCGCATCTACTCCTTTCTCCGTGCCAAAGCTCTTTCTCTTCTCTCTTGCTCCCTCCGTCTCTCTCTCTCTCTCTCTCTCTCTCTCTCTCTCTCTCTCCCCATGTTTCCCTCTCCAGTCATCAAGATATATTCAACGGCATCTCTCGTCGACACTTTCACAGTTTCAGTCCTAGTGCACCAATGACGTGTAGGAAAAAGTAAAATAAAAAAACTCTGATTTATTCTTCTATGATGTTGCTGTCACAAATTAAGGTCCAAATCCAAAGTCACAACTCCAATTCAGCAAAAGCTTCATTAACATTAACAATTTCATTGGTTGTTTTGCATCTTTGTATATTGAGGAGCCCAAACTCCCGCTCACACCCACACCCCAGGTCCCCACCGACAAAAATAATATTATAATAAACAAATTTCGTACGAATTTAGAAGATTCTAAACAATTTCAAAGAAAATATGCAGTAAATTAGAAAGAAGGCATATTTTAGTGAAATCCATGGCGACAATCTCCAGACACATGCAGCGTGGAGTCTTGGATTACTAAAATGGTCATTGTAAATCCACCAAAATCTACGTGTGGACGAACTAACAAACAAGGGCACAACTTAAAATTATAATTGTTAGAAGTATGTCCTAAAACTTCATTCATAAGATAAAATCTATTAGATAATACAAATGATTAGTCAAACCAAACTAATCAAAGGGGCAAGATCACTCATTAAGATTATCTCATTAATCTTTATAATTCTGAACAATGAATCCATGGATAACGAAGAGAGGAGTAATATAAAGAAGTTAAATTCCTATAATTTTGGGATTCTTAATTTAATATGTTTTTTATGTAAATTATTTCTTTCCTTATTGATAGGATTGTAACATCTTATAAACCCCTTCTTGAGAGATGAATAGAACACACAATTATTCCAAAAGAGCATTCTCTTCTTGGCACCAGAGCCTAGGTTAGAAAAAAAAAAATTATATATATATATATATATATAAGTTGTGCGCCGTGCGCAAAACCGAGAACCACCAGCACACCGTCAGACCAGCGAGCGACGCCGTCATTGCTGACCCGAGTTCACTGAGCCGATTCCCGCATCCACCTAGACCAACGAGCGACGCCATTGTTTCTGAGCCAAGTTCACCAAGTCGATCGTTGCAGCCACCCACCATTACCCACTGTTGCATCATGTGGCCACAAACCAAGGTCCAAAACCCATAAATTACCGCTGCAAATCCCGATTGAGAACCACCACCTGTGTCTGCAATTTCGTCTGCACCAGAGACGAGGCGCGCGAAACGGCTGCTAACCATCTTACCAATCTACAGCCCAACCCGTGTTCTGCAAAACTATTTTTGTTGTGATCTGCAATTTTCTTGCTTTGTTGTGCTTCGAAGGAAGTCCCGGGCGTAAGGAAAGGAAAAAGGAAAAAAAGAAAAAGAAAAAAGAAAACAAAGGAGAAATAAAAAAAGGAAAAAAAAAAACAAGATTGTTTTTTTTTTTTTTTTTTGTGCTACTGTTTGTTTTCCAGGGTCTCACATTGTTGGCCTCTTTGGTTTGGAATCTTGGCCCTATCAATCGCCTCAGACGTTGCACTCAACTCATGCAGAGCAATGACACGCTGGACTCATCATCCCCGCTGTAATGAGTCATGTGCATTGATTGCCAAAGCTAAGGTAGCTTCTACAATACAAACAACGATGGTAAAGCTTTAAAAGTTTATGCATCTGTTATGAATAATGCATGGATAATTGATTTCGGTGCTACTAAACATATGACTTGTGATTCTAGACAGGTACAAACCCGAAAACCATCCACCAAAACTGTTGTAAGTGTTGCCAATGGTAATCCTGCCCCCATTATTGGGGAAGGTGCTGTCTCCGTTTCAAATACCCTTAATCTTGATAACATGCTTGTTGTTCCTTCTCTTGATTATAATTTACTATATGTTGCTCAAATAACCGTCACCCTACATTGTCTTTCTATTTTTTGGCCTTCTTTCTGTGTTTTTAAGAATATTGGGACTCGCATGAAGATTGGTTATGGTATCAGAAAAAGGAGGCTTTACTACTTGGAGTTGACATCGAACAGTACCAGATGTTGACTTAAGCTCTTACTGTGAAAGGATCTCAAGGGAAGCCGAATAAAGCTTTGGAGGTTTGGTTGTGGCATCGTCG